GGCCGAAAAATGTCCACCTGGAAGCAAATACACAATGTGACATGCGAATATTAAATAATAATCCGAGTTACCTAGGCTCGTCCGAGGTGATTTAAACAGTGATCATTGAATTATAAACAAATAAATGACGATGTCGTTGAATTTTTAAAATCACACACACATACACACATACACACAGACGCATATATATATATATATATATTTGTAAATTTATATGATGAACGTTTTCAAAAAGGAAAATTCGCATTTGTCAACGCAAATGATTGCACTACTGCTAAACAAGTGAGTAGACTCATAAATCATTCGTAAATGTTAAATGGGAGTACTCTTCTAATAGATTAATATAAAGAGAAAAGTAGACAGATAAATACAGAAGGGAGGAAAAATTCGCCACTTTTCATATGCAATCATTAAAGCCTCCCAGCCAAACAACCAAATTACTGACCGGATCGCTCATCTAATTCCAGTCTCATGAGATAGAGAATGTGATACAGCTTAAGTGGTCCTACTTGAAAGCCTCAATTTGGTCCAAAGTTAATGCTAACAAGGAGGGGGGGGGAGAAACAAAATGCTGAAGACAAACCGTCTGGCTTTGCGCATTGACAAAGCTACGCCCTCAAAAGTAATCAGCAATGTGCAGAGAGGCGACTTGCAGGATGTGGGCGCGGAAGAAAGAGGAAGTGAGAAAATAATGTGTGAGTGAAGAGAGAACCAAGATGAGGGGTTAATGGACGAGCTGAACGAGCTGAACGAGAGAGGGTGATGGGGAAGGGTGAAATAGAAAAATGTGCTATCCACAGCCATGGAGAGAGGGGTGGGTGGGAATTAAAAAAAGGAGTTAAAGTTTCGTGCGGTCAGTAGAAGCATAATAACAAGAAATTATATGCCTCGTCAGAGTAGCCAGGATAGGGCAAGTAAAATATGTGTTTGCTTCCAAGACCTAATGAAGAGCATGCTGAAGAGCGGATTCCCTTAGGGGCCGGCGATATCTTTGCCGACATGTTTGCGATTATTGAAGTGCTCGGCCCAAGTTGCATAAAGTCAGACCAAGTGGCGTCCGAAGCTCGAGCACGAACCTCGCGAATTGACCGCGTGACGGCGCCATACCGGGTTCGAAAAGTCGAAAGCCAGAATGCTACCTCAAAGTGGTGTGAGGCAACATGTTGCCTTGACGACTGACCTCAAAGCGTCTATGCTGATACAAAGTTCACGCCTGGACTGAAGTTTATGAGAAATCAATTTGGGGTTGATGCTAATGAGTGATCCCCACGGCCCTAAAGTGGTCCAATCAAAAAAGTCTACTTTGAACCAGTCCCGGCCAGCGGTAGAGAAGATGAATCTTCGATGGTGGCGTCTTACACAAGAGTCCGATGGCTTGCCGGCTAGTGATCCGGTGTCCGTGGCAACCGTGTGTTGCGTGAGGAGGCGGGACCAGGTCTCCTGAAGACCGGACTCCGAGAAGCTGTCATTCAGGGTCCAGTTGAGCCCGAGCATCGGCTGCGAGACGCCGTCTTGGTTGGCAGTCTGCTCGGGCGTGGCTGGGGCGACTGGGCCGGCTTGAGACGAAGTCGCTGGGATAAAGGCGGTGGGCCGAGGGCCGAGAGGAAGTGGACGACCCGCAGCATCCAGAGGGCTAGTGATGACATCAGCAGTGACGAAGGGCGGAGAATGGCTTGAGCAGGAGCAGGATGCGAGGAAGAGATGCGACTGGGAGTCGATGGCGCCCTGTTGTGAGCAGGAGTTGGATGAAGGCGACTTTCGCTGACGAAGAAGGTCTGAATAGGGCCACACAAATAATCATGAATCAGAGCATTTTCATGGCCACAAATTGTGTTCACAATGCTCTTATTCACACAACCGTTGGGCAAAGATATAAACTCGGGTCCCGATTGGTTGGACACTTTTTACGTAACTATCACTAAATAGGGTAAGGAGGACTGTCAGCTTTTGGTCCAACGTGAGGTCGTCAAAAGCCTCCTCGCGTTGCTTATATTCAAGCAGAATGAAAAGTTCCTTTAGGCAAACATTAAAAGGCTTCTGATAAAATCAGTTCACCCGCATTTCTCTCGGGCTTTCAATTAACAGCCATTAAAATCGCACATGAAAACATGCTACTCAGTTGGCATTATAGTAGTAAGACTAGAGTTCCGAAAAATAGGCGGTAATCATTTGAAGATAAATCTAATTTCGTTGTGGCGACTTTCATTTCGTATGCAAGTGCATGAAGAATACATTCGTTGTTCGATCTCATCAGAAGAGGAGGGATGAATCGCGTTTTACTGCAGCCGTTTGAATTTTAGACAACGATGGACATCACCAGGGCTGGAACTCATTCTTGTGAAGGTTTCAAGTTAGCACTTGGACAAGAAGATTATCTCGGTCTATGTTACCTCTTACATAGATTGAATGAAGCAAAATAAAATTAAAAACCTAGAAAGATAGATAGATATAAAATGGTTTGGCCAATTATATTTCATACTGGTCCTGCTACTTTTGTTCGGGTATGTGCGCGTGTGTATGAGTTTACGCTAGCGTCTATAGGCAATACCGGTCCTAAATGAGAGTTATCAAAAGGCCAATGTCAGGCTCTGATAATCGAGAGTTAATGACTTGAGAGAAAGACCTGAACGAGACTGCTTAAGTCCGTAAGCAAGTATGGTTGAGATAATCACATGTGAGCTTGTAAGCATGTAAGTCAAGTTACGAAACCACTTCTCCGTTTATGGTCATTAACGCTTAACCCTCCAAGAAAAGGCAAGATTGTGGTTGTGTAATCTGACATGCCTGGTTTGGTTTATGAGCATAATCCAACATGTTGGACGAGTTTTAGTGAAGTTAGAACCATCACCGTGCAGTCGCCTTCTTTTTGACAGCGGCTCAACACCCTCTCT